TTTAAATGCTGTTTGCCAATACATCAACTTTCAAAGACTTTTTACTGAGATCCAACAGGGACTGCAATCTCGGTTGGTAAAGGGACTACCCACACCTATAAATCCCAGATCCCTGGAATATTAAATGAATGCCGACATCCCCCAAAACTAGTTTCTGTTGATCTATACCTATACCTAGTCAATAATTAATAGTCAATAAACATTTAGTAAGTGCTTACTATATGCCAGGCACTGTGCTAAGTTTTGGGGATACAAACATGAAAAATGACAGTCCCACCCTCGGCAAGCTTACAATCGAATGAGAAAAAAAAACATCAAAGGAAGCTAAAAATCCAAGCAGGTGGGGAAGATACCTAACGTGAAGGCATTGTAGAGACGTTCCAGAGTAAGTACAATCAGGTGAGAAATGAGGAATGCACTATATTTACATGGTACTTATGCAAAATACTGCTGGTTAAATATTCCAGAGTAGTGAATCTTATTCTTTTGTGTATCATGGACCCCTTGGGCAATCTGGTGAAGCCGTGGGACCCCTTATCAGAATGTTTATTGACTAAATTCATAATTGAAGGAATGCTAAATTTCAGATAGAGGTTAGGAACAGTAAAGATATAATTCTTTTTTCCTATTCAAGCTCATGGATTCCCTGAAATATATCTATGAATCCCAGGTAAAGAACTCTAGATTAGAGAGCAAAACAATCTCAATGCCTTCTTGCAAATACATCAGGGAAATCCTCCAGCTTCACAATATATCTGATTGACTCATTCTTCCTCTGAAATGTCCCAAAGGAATAAAATTCTCATCAACGGTTTACTCTGATCAGGAAAATATTGAAAAGGCAGCTTTCATGCTGGTTGTTAGCTTGGGAAAATATGATTTTCTATTTGCTGCATCCCAAGATCTGTCCCCATATTGAGTTCATTGAGGGTTGGGAGTTGGGGGAAAGGAGGAGAGAGAGACAGGTGGTTTATTTGTGTCAGGGAAGAGTTAACCAGCTTCCTGGCCAAGCCTGGCTGTCAGATATCTTGCTAAAGGAACAGAGCCATTACCTACAATTCTGGGGCTCCATTTGTTCATGGCTCCCACGTAGACAGGGGCGATCTATATCTGCAAAGCATTTAATAAGGAGCTGAATTTTGGAAAGGCTCCCAGGTATCGCGAGTTTCTTTGTCACTTACCCTTTCCCACGGCATTGGGCTCCACTCATTAATATGTCTGCTCCTGATAGGTCATGCAGAGAAAAGTCCAATACGTTCTCTTCCCAGACAGCCGCCTTGATGTACAGAAAAGGTTTGAGTTTCTAAAATAAGGAGAGAGACCAAATTCTCTACTGACTTCTGCATTTTCTGAGGAGGCAGGGCCTCCAGCAGAATATCACATTCCCCAGATATTCATTTCAGTGACTGGGAGAAAAGACCTTTTTCTTTGGTTTGGAGAGTAACTTTGAAAAGGAAGCCTTCCTCTGTCAACTCCAAGGAAGCCAAGAAATGGAGATGAGGAGGGAGGAAATCCCAGGTGTGAGAGACAGCCAGTGAAAATAGCCAGAGTCAAGAGATGGGGTGTCTAGTGAGAGGAGCAAGCAAGCAGACCAGCGTTGCTGCATTTTAGAGCATGTAGGGAGGAGTAAGGTATAAGAAGACTGGAAAGGTAGAAGGGGCCAAGCAAAGAAGAGTCCAGACTTTATACCTGATGTCAGAGGTAAGAGGAAGCCACTGCAGGAGGGCGGGATGACCTGGCCAGACCCGCACTTCAGGAAGACCACTTTGATAGCTGCAGAAAGGAGGGACTGGGGAGAGATTTGAGGTAGGGAGAGCAACCAAAAGGCTATATTGCAATAGTCCAGTCATGAAGTGATGGGGGCCAAGACAATAGCAAAAGGGTCAAGTGAGAGGTTTTCAAGGGTGGAAGAGATTTGGACGTGTATGTGGGCAATAAGGAAGAAGCCAGAAGGTAGGAAAAGATTCGAGATTGCCTTACCATGGGATAGTGGGAAAAGCATGAGGTCGGGAGTCAAAGGGCCTGGGTTCAAATCCTGTCTACTCATGTGATGGTAAGCAAATTGCTTAACCTTTCTTGATCTGTGTGATGAGGGGATTGGATTAGGCGGCCACCGAGTTTCTTTCTAACTTTAGATCTAGGATTCTATAACCCCTTCCTAAAATTGACTGCACATAGCCTCTAGGTTGGAAGAAGTGCCCACTGCCTTCCTTCGAAGCTTCCACTCTGTCCCCATAACTCAGGTGCATCGCTTCTCCACAGTTCTTTAATGCTAATCTCATTGGAGTGGGCACCTTCACCATGGAAGCAACCATCCACCCTTTCTTGTCCACGTCTCCCACAGCAGGTCCACCCTTACACACTGTGCAAGGATTCAAACCCTCCTGTGGGTCCTCTTCCCACTCTGTGGGTACCAGGGCGGCCCACCTGTTGCCTTCTCTCCTAACACGTGTCAGGCCCTTCAGCTGCCACCAACAAAAGGGCAGTGAGCTAGGCAGCGTGCCAGCAAGGCAGGGGCCCCTGCTGGGTCACACCTAGAGCCCCAGGTGGTACGGCATTAAGAGCCGCCTGCGTTCTCTTTATTCCGCTCATTAAACCCTCTTCAAATTGGACTTTCTATAGTGTCAGCTCCACAAAGATGAATAATACGGTCTCACCTGTAAAGGGTCATTCTTCATTCGATCAGCAAGCATTTACTGAGAGCTTCCCAGGAACCCAGAACTGGCTTCTAATTGTAATTGCTGCAAAACGGGAATAAGACCCATGGGGCTTCCTTCAAAGGGCTCTTGTCAGGCTCAAATGCGATGAGAGATGTACACTCCGGGCCAACCCTCCAATGCTACCTCAATGTTCTTGTTATCAAAATCATTACTATATTCAAATAGAGACAATAGCCGATAGCTGACTCTTGCCAACGGCAGAATGTCTGTTCTTGTTATCAAAATCATTACTATATTCAAATAGAGACAAATAGCCGATGGGAGCTGAGCTCTCTTGCCACGGGCAGATCATACTCCCTCCAGGCCTGCCCAGGTGGCAAGACTCTTGTCTAGGCTTCTGTTAAGCTGCCACCATGGCCCACAGGTGGGCTGTCCCTGCCTCCTCTTGACACAGTGACTATCCACAAGAAACACAAGGGTGGTACGTTGGTTATCTATCCCTCATTCTCACCATCTGAGCAGCCCATCTGCTCTATCACTCACACAATTCCTCACTAATCTCCTTTCCTTTCATGTTGCTTCTTAATTCCCTGTTGGTGACAGGCTGCAGCCTGCTAACACCCTCTCCATTGCACTCTGGGTGAGAACACGTTTTCCATTCTTTAGGAGACCGCAGTGTTCCATGACTCATTGCTGTATAACTATTATTAGTGGTAGTGTTATTGCTATTATTATTATGCTGATTAACTATAACACTATATTTGGTGATAAAAAGAATGACAAGGTAGAAAGGAAAGTCCCTGCCCAATATATAATCTGGGAGTAGGGGTGAGGCAGAGTGTACCAGAGGACCTTGAAGGGAGAACAATTACAAAGAAATTCATTTCCAAGGGCATGCTTGACAACAACATAGAAATTAAAAACTAACCAGAGAATGCTAGGATCCCTAGGGGTCATCCAGTCCCATTTCTCACCCCAAACCTTGGGTGTTAAGAAGCAATTTGTGATAATCCCTCATTTTTGCCAACAGCCTTTCATATCTTCTGTCATCTCTGATGCTCATCTCTTAATTTAAGACTATTCGTGCTGATGTTTTTCCCCAGGAATTCACTACAATTCATTCATTGCAAAATATATGAAATTTTCTGCCATCTCTTTTCCCTCATTTCTCTGCTGAATTCCCATTTCTTTTTGCTTATGGTTTTCCATGTTTATCTGAAAAAAAAAAGTTATTTCTCACAGATTAAGACTGTTAACAAAATGCTTCACTTTCAAGAAGTCATTCTCCAGTACTTGAGACATATCAGCTAGGGACTTCCATAGAAGAGGTGGTAACATCAGTTTGATTTGATTCTCCCAGCCCTTTTTTTTTGAAAAAAAAAAAAAACAACTAATGGTCAACTTTAAAACAATAATTTTTTAAATGGATCACAAGAAAATTTCTTATTTTGCTTTTTCTGTCCCCAAAATACACACATAACTTTCTAAAACTTTCTGCTGAGAAATCCAATTGACACTTTACTCACTATAAGAGAAAATACTCTGTAATAATAAAAGAAATGCACATTTAAATGACTCCGAGGTACTGCCTCACCCCCTTCAAATTGGAAAGATATGGAAAGGTGGAGTTGGTTAAACTAGCTTGAAGGAGTGTGGGAAAATAGATACGTGAACATAGAAGTGGTGGAGTTGTAGATTGGTCTGACCATTTTGGGGAGAAAAAAACCTGGAATTATGTGGGAGGGAGTCATTAAACCGTTCATATACTTTGACCTCAGGGACTCATTCCTGGGCAAAACCCCCAAAGAAATTAAAGACAAAAGAAAAGTTTCCATATAAAGCAAAATATTCACAACAGCGTTGTTTTGCAGTACCTAACACTGAGGGAGGGTGGAGGGAGAGAAATTAGGTGCTGATTGGTTGGGGAATGCTCAGCAAGCTGTGGTATTTCAATACAGTTGAATATCATGGCACCATGATAAATGACAAATGCTAGGAACTCCGAGAAATAAGTATAAAACCACAAAGATTGAAGAAAGTAGCACCAGAAAAACAACCCACACAATGACTCCAATCACATAAAAGTAGACGATACTAGATAATAGAGATCAGATCAGATGCCATGACCAGTCTTGGTTCCAGATACTGATTTTTGTCTTATTGCATATTCCATCATTTACAGTCACTGAGCTTGTTTGTTTTTCATAGAGAAGGGTGTTATGGGAGGGGAAAGAGAGAACAAGGAAGCCTACATGGAAGTGGCACCTGGGCTGGACCTAAAGGAAAGGAAGAGATTGCAAAAAGTGTCAACACGCAGAGCCTCTCTTTCAGATGTAGGGGATGGCACGCAAGAAGCAAGACCAGATTGGAGAAGGTCAAGTAGAGGCTCCATGAAGGAAAGCAGTCCATAAAAGAATTAGAAATGCATTTGGAACCAGACTGTGGAAAGCCCTGAATACCCAGCTAAGATATTTTAGTTTTGTTCAATACGCAATGTGAAGCTCTTGACTTTTTGTTTTTCTGTTTTTTGTTCATTTGTTTTGTTTTGGTTTGGTTTTTTGCTGTAAATTCGGATTGGCTGATGGGAACACATTTGATTTAGCTGTTTAGAGGACATTAGCTAGAGCATTGTTGGTGAAGTCAGAAGCGGTAAGATCTGAATTCCAATCCTTCCTCAGCATTCCCTAGCTGTGTGACCCTGGCCAAGTGATAGCCTCCCTAAGCTTGACCTTTAGCAGCTGGAAAGTACACTAGCATGAGCCTCCCTCATTGCGTGGTTTTTAGAAAGCATTACATAATGAGTTGTTAATGTTGTTATCATTCTCATATTATTTAAACAGAAGGAGGGAAAAAGAGAAAATATCCTAATCATTGTTCTAATTATGTCCCCTCCAAGTAGGATCCTAGAATCACAAGACTTTTTAATAATCTTTTCAATTATATAAAATTATACAAAAATATAATTTTATATAATCTTTTCAGTAATCCAATTGCATTATATTTATTTGGTAAATACTCTATGAGTTCATGTTGCCTCCCCCAACAGAACATAAGCTCCCTGAGGGCCAGAACTGTTTCATTTTTGTCTTTATATCTTCATAGTAAGCACTTAATAAACACTTTCAATTCATTTATTCTAGATAGCTAGGGGAATGTAGTGGGGAAGGGAGAATAGTAAACATCCTGAGGGGAAAAGGAAGTTGCTTAAAATGTCAATGTGTCTGTTAATGTGTCCATCCCAAATCAAGGGAAGGCAAGTACTTCTGATACCTTTCTAGGCGCTGGCCACTAGAGTGTCTGGCAGGCTGAACTTCACTAAACAACCACACGGCTTTGCTAGAAAGATTTAATGGGAACCATGGGAACCCATCAGGGGATGGGCTTCATGGACCCATCAGGGGAAATTCTTAGCTCAGTACAAATGCACACCTCCTCCAAAAATGATACCTACATAAGAATAAAATCCTTAAAAATAATCCTAGGAATTTAAGACACACAATTACTTCCCAAAGAAGGATGGCAGTAGAAATCTCTCTTGAACTCAGTAATGCCAACCTTGCCATAAGGTCATGTGGGCCTTGAAAACTCCTGGCAGAAAAGGAGAAAAAAGGCCACTGGTCACTCTTCTGCCCAAGAGAAGTCTTCTGTCTCCTATGCCCACAGAGAAGATGAGGTATCATAATGCATCCCACAGCTTTGTCCTACAGAGGAGAAGGGAGACGAGGCAGGGCCCATAAAAGCTTCCTCTCACCTGCCGCCAGGGAGAGCAGAAATAGAAGGCAAAGGAAAAACACCTGTGCGCTAAAGCAAGCCAAGCCTATGCTAGGATCCAGGCCTGTTTTTTCTCTTCTCCCCTTTGGCCTCTATTCTTCTACCACTCAAGCTCTGTCACACCTGAAAGTCAGTGGAGGTGTCAGTTAGCCAATCCACAAGTATTTATTAAGCGCTTATCATGTGCCTGGCACTGGGGATACAAAAAGGCCTTTTTCTGTTTTCAGTCCAACAGTCATAACAGAAAACCACCCACTCGATTCAGTTAACGTTATTGGCTGGGACTCCTTTTCAGGACAAAAGATTGGTGCAAAAAGAACATGTTATTCTGCACCTCCACTCCCATTCAGAGAGCCAAAGGTGTCAGTTGTTAACTTTGACATCATCGAGGAAGGCTGAGCAGGCCCCCTCCTGACAAAAGGGAGGAGAGACGCAGAGAAGCAACTGCCAAGCTCCTCTGCCACCTTCCCCTTCGGCCACCTCCACAGCACATGTCCCTGCCCTCTTCTTGCCCAATCAAAATATATAAAGCACATTCTCCAAATGACCAACCGGGACAGATGGTCTGGTGATAGATATTCATTTTGCAAAACTTTTTAAAAGAACGTTTTGTTTTCTTGGAATTCTAATGGTCTGGGGCAATTCCAGAGATTTTGCTGCACCTCTGACCTAGCCGCTCAGAGCCCTGTTTTTCAGGTAGCAGAATGATGAATTAATCAGAGCTAATGTGTTAATGGTCTTCCTTCTCACCTTGACTCAAGGGAGAGGAGTGATCCTCCAACACTGAACAGCTGTTTAGGGGCTGACAAACCTCTCATCCAGCACATAAACTTCCTTCACCTTCCCCCTCCTCCTCTTTTCTTCTTTCTCCTCTCTTCCTTCCTCCCATCCTCCCTCACCCTCCCATCTCCCAAGAGAAGAGTTCTTGGGCAAAATCCCTTCCTCTTTCTCACAGAAACAACCAAAAGGAAAGGTTTATCTGTGGAAGTCATCAAAAGCTACCCTGGAGATGGTTTAACCCAATGCCCTCTTTTTACAAATGAGAAAAGCAAGGCCCAGAAACAAGAAGTGATTTTCCCAAGGTTATAAAGTATTAAGTAATAGAGCTTAGATTTAAATCCAGAACATGGGCATAAAGCAAGAAGAGTGAGATCTTGGAGGTGATCTAATTCAGTCTTCTCAGCTTTTTTAAAAAAAACGATGCAACAAAAAAATGATGTAACACTATTTTTAAAAATTAATGTTTTATTGATGCTTTTTTTTTCTGTCACAAATGATTCCCACTGACTCCTCCACCCTCATAGAAGCCTCCCTTGTAACAAAGAAGTATTGATAAGCAAAACAAATCAGATTTTGGACACATCTTATACCTTATTCAGCACCTCTAGTCTACTGAAAGCAGCGAGTTTTGCTTTTCAATTGGTCCTCTGAGGTCACAATTGGTCACTGCCTTGACCCAAATGATAGCTCAGGGTTGGGTACTTTTACATTATTGTAATTATGTATAAACTGTTCCCCTGATTCCATTTATTTCAGTCTATATCCAATCATATAAGTCTTCCCAAGTTCTTCTAAATTCATCGTATTTATCATTTCCTACGACAGTAATATTCCATACATTATTAATAGAGCGTAATTTTGTTCAGTTACTTCTCAGTCAGTTGGAACCCTCTTTTCTCCCATTTCTTTTGCTACCACCAAAAATGCTGCTATCAGTGTTGTGGTGCATATGGGACCTTTCCTTCTATCACTGGCCTTCTTTAGGGTATATGCACTCCAAAAATGCTGCTATCAGTGTTGTGGTGCATACGGGACCTTTCCTTCTATCACTGGCCTTCTTTGGGGTATGTACACTCTAGTATAGTTCATAATTGTTTTCCAGTGGAGGCAGCTGGGTAGTGCAGCGGATAGTACACTGGCCTTGGATTCAGCAGGACCTGAGTTCAAATCCGGCCTCAGACACATAACACTTACTAGCTGTGTGACCCTGGGCAAGTCACTTAACCCCACTGCCTAGCCAAAAAAAAATTGTTTTCCAGAATGTGTACTTTCTCGTTTTCTTCATAGAATCACAGTAACAACTTGTCTAGGGCAATTCCCACACTCAGTGGCAGATTGGGACACATAGAACGATTTCTACCTATTGTCTCAGTGTTCTAGGGGTAATCCTGAAGGGTTGAAGTTTCTAGTGCTGTCACTCACAAGTACTGTCACACCCACCAGTGGGCTTCCCATTGATTATCATCCGGTAGTCTCAACTAGCTTCTAGGATGAGATAGTATAGCAAGAATAGTAGTTACAAAATATCACACACATCCCAAAGTCTTGGGAACACTGTCCCATAAATATGCCTACAGTCCAGAGAAAGAGTAGATTTAAATTTAGAGTACAGTAAGATTGAGACACGTGTGAGAACAACATATGTGGTAAAGGGGTACCTCAAAAATCCTGGCACTGGGAGTCTTTTTCTCCCTTTATGGAATCTGCATGAAGTTCCCTTTAAGTGGGTCTCTCTGTTGGATTCCAAGGGACGATGCCTTTCTAGAGTTGATAGCCAACACTTCTCTCTATCAGGAAGAATCATGATTCCTAAGGAACCTGTGGGTGCCTGTTTCTCCCCATCTGTCTGTAGCTACTTCTTCTGTTGTCTGCCATGACCACTCTAGCAATGTAACCATTGTTACCACCTCTGGTTCCTTCCTCAAGGGCTGGCTAGAGCTCCTCTTCCAGAAGACTGGACTGTTTCTGGAATACTAACTAGATTCCAAATTGGTTTACTTTGTTGTGTATGGGCCCAGAGCTACATCTGCTTCTTTCAGTCATTCACAAAGCACTTTATTCCTCTCAAGTTGACTAAGGACTTTTATAATCTTGATTGATTGAATGAGCCAATCTGAATTTCTGGGCCTTCTGTGGTTACATTAATTGGGGTGGGGAGTAAAAATCTCCACTCTTATACTGAGATTATGGAACTAAATCAGGTCTTCTTACCTTCTTTGAATCATGGATCCCTTGGGTGGTTTGGGGAAGCCTATGGACCCCTTCTCAGAATCATGTTTTTAAATGCACAAAACAAAAAAGTAAGAATACAAAGGAAATTAATTTTATTAAACTACAACTATGAAAAATTTTTAAAGCAAATTGATAGACTCCCTAGTTAAAAATGCCTGATTTAGAGGGTTTTTTAATTAATTTTTATTATGAATTTCACAAACATAAACAGTTCAGCATAAGAATAATAGGAAAAAGGATTGTATATGGGACAGAAATGTATATTAAATTTAACACAGTAGTAACAAAATTGCCCTGTGCTCACTTTTTATCTTCCTCTTGCTCTCTTCATCTTGTTTTTTGTCATTAGCATCACTACCCACCAACTCCCCCTCTTAAATAAAAGCCCTCCCTTGAAACAGATACGTCTAACCAAGAAAAAAAAAAAAAACAATCTATATATTGGTCATGTCTGAAAAGCTATGGATGAGATCCAGTCCAAAAAATCTCTGCCAAGAGGCAGGAGGGGTGCTTTGTCATCAACCTTCAGAAGTCATGCCTGCTCTTTACACTGTCCAAGTTCTGGGTCAAAGTTGTCTTCCTTTATATTCTTGTGGTCACTGTATAAATCAATTGTTCTCCTGGTTTTGCTCAACCTCCTTGTTTTTCAGATGAATTATATGAGGCTCTTTGCCTCCAACTCTTTCCACTAGTCTATACTGTCTTTTCCCTGAGCCAGTAGCCAGGGACGTGGGCTACAATTGAGAATCCCATCTTGATGAGAAGCAATGCCCTAGTCCTACTTCCAAAGGAATTTGGAAAGTTCTTATGGAAAGTACTATAAGGAAATCAGGATGTTGCCATGAACAATTTTAGACTCTGACTCTAGTCACACATATCACACATGGAAAATGCCTCATATTCTTAAAAGCAACAACAACTGTTCAGTTAGCGCCACCAATAGCAGATGGTACTCTCATGGGAAGCAAAACAATGGAGGCAAAGTGGGTGCCCATCAACTGCAGAGCAACTGAACAAATGGAGACATATGGCTATAATGGACAACGACTGGTCCACAAAAAACAATCAACATGAGGAATTCAGAGAATCCTGAGAAGACTTCTTTGTACTGATGCAGTCTGAGGAAAAAGAATGAAGAGAAAGGAAGCTAAAATCAAATTAAATATTATAACTGAGTGAGATGTCAGAAAACAAATGATGAAATGCATGCTTCCACTGAGAGAAAGGCTGGGAACTAGAAATACAGCATCTTGTATGTGCCATCAGACACGACCACTCTGTTAGGCATCTTTGCTTAACTATTTTTTATTATGGAGTTCTAAGGGGCAAAGGGAGGAGGGTAGGAATGGAGGGGCAATGTATCAACCAATAACTCTGACACAAAATAAGAAGGCATCAATAGATTTTTTAATAGATGGAGGTACCAAGGCACAAAGTACAGGAATTTTAGGAAGCTCTCTCCAAACTTTCAGGTAAACCTGAAGAAACAAAATTTGTGCAGCTAAAAACCATGTAATCTGAACTTTAAAGCACTGTTAACTCTACCTAAGACCAACCCTAATCCCCCTGAATCCAGCTTCTATCTTCCATTTTGCTATTTCTGTATTTCGATTAGGTGTTGCTGGAAGATCCTGTAGTTCAGTAGGCTAGGCACGAGCCTGGGAGGTAGAAGTTGATCAATTCTGGAGGGCCCTGCCCCACGGCCATCCGCCGCCCCCTCCTCACCCCCTCCCCTTACCTCCTTCTCCGACTCTTCACCCTTCCATCCCTTCCCCTCCCCTCCCCCATCCCCATCCTTTCTCCTTCTTCCCTTCCCCGACCTAGACGATGCCGTGGTGGAGACAGCCGAGGAGACCACAAAGCCTGCCGAGGCGGACATCACAGGGCTGTGCCAGGACGTGTTCTCCAAAATGGCCACGTACCTAACCGGCGAGCTGACAGCCGCCAGTGAATACTATAAACTTCTGCAAAATATGAACAAACTGACTAGCTTGAAGTATCTAGAAATGAAAGATACTGCAGTGAACATAAGTAGAAACCTGAAGGACTTAAATCAGAAATCTGCAGCTCTTCAGCCTTACCTGGATCAGATCACTTTAAGTGAGGAGAAAGCAGCAGCTCTCGAGCAGGCAGCTTACACGTTGGATGCATATTCAAAGAAACTAGAAGCAAAGCACAAGAAGTTAGAGAGGCAAAGAAAACATGCATTAGCACAAAGACTTTAACTACAAGAATGTTTCCTAAGAGCTGAAATAAGTGGGATGGAACTTATCACTATGCTTCAGTTTCTAAAAGGAAGCGGTGCTGCTGATCCAAGGAGAATCCCAGCCCCCACCTCCGTTTGGATGTGTAACTTTGGCCACCCCTTGCTGTTTCCTGAACCTGTAGCCCCTGGAACCTCATCTTATCGTGTGCTTCATTGTGTGCCCTGGACCAAGGCTCAGAAATCAGGATCAACCCCGTCGGGAGCAGACACAAAGGAGAGGCTCTCGTCTCCCTGTCTCCTCCCTTCTTCCCTCTCCCCTAGGCATCCCCCCTGCCCCGTTCATAACCTGTTCTTCAACTTAAATAATAAATGCTGACTTATGACCCTCAAAAAAAAAAAAGAAGTTGATTAATTTCTCCCTCCATCAAGGTTTAAATCAGCCATGATCTCTGAAGGAACATGACTTGAGGAATTTGGGGCTTACCACCATACTAGGGTATCAAAAGGAATGGAAAAAAGCTGACTCCCTATCAACACCATAAAAAGAGGGGAAATCCACTCATCTAGATCATAGGGTGAGTTTCTTTTAACCATTGTTTTCCTGGTTCCTTAGTTTTAAGGAAGAGGAATTGACCTACCAGAGGAAAGGAAATGCGAGGAGGCTTGCCAAGAGAAGCAGGAATAGCATGGTATAGTGAAGAGGTCTGGGCTTGGAGTCAGGAAGAAATGCATTCAAATACCATCACACACACTTACTAGCTATGTGGTCCTGGCTATCACTGGACCTTTGGAGCCTCAGTTTCTTCATCTGTAAAATGGGGATGATGATGATGATGATGAAGAAAAACAGCACTTAGCACAGTGCTTGCTGCTTAATAAATGCATATCAATTGATAATGATAATAATATCACTTTACATATCACTTCAAAGTTTGAAAAGCACTTTTAAAACTTTAAGTTTTAAAATCTCTCTATTGATCCTTACAATAACCCTCACAGACTTGTTGTAATAAATGATGATTTCCAACGGGCCAGAAATTGGCTAGCAAGAAACAGATTAGGAGGACCTCCAGTGAAGGGAGAACGGCATGAAAAAACAAATTACTATGAATGAGAAAGTAGGACAAAAGAAGAAGTGATTAAAGGATTTGGGGGTTAACCAGAGCAGAAACTTGAGAAAACACTCTTGGAAAGTTACTGAGACTAGGTACCAGGAAGAGAAACCCATGAAGAGATATATCTAACTATGGTAACCAGGAAGAATAGAGTACCATCTTGGTGTGATAGGGAATTGTCGAGCATGTAGTTTGATCCTTAACTCAGAGGTTGTACTTGGAGACCAATAACTGTTATTATTTATATAGCTCTTTGAGGTTTGCAAAATACTGTGCATGTGTTTGTATGTGTGTACATATCTCGATAGATAGATAGATAGATAGATAGATAGATAGATAGATAGACAGATAGACAGATAGACAGATATACATATATTAGATACATATAGATATACATATATAATCTCTTTGGATCCTATCAACACTGTGAGGTAGAGATGATATTATTCCACCCATTTTTACAGATGTGGAAGTTGAGGCTCAAATTTGGGTAAGTGACATCCAGAGCCATTCAGCTTTTACATATAGAGGCAAGATTCAAACCCAGGTCTTCCTAACTTCAGTTCTAGCACTCTATCCTCAAGGTCCAGGGAACTGAGAGAGAAATTGAACCAAGGATAGGGAGCACTGCATATAATATCAAATCTGGTTGATGTGGGCATTTGTTTTATTAAACTGCTTTTTTGCCCTCTCTTTATTATGAAGGATGGTTCTGAGTCGGGGAGAGGAGGGAATATGTTAGAAATATAAAAGTGGCATGTTAAAAAAAATCCTCTTGCTAACTAAAAGCCAGAAATGAATCTGCCTGGGAGGTAGGTCGAGGCTGAGCACAGATCAAGGCAGAAATAAGAAAAGCAATCGAACTTATAAGCTAGAGTCTGTAACTAGGCTATGCACCTCTAATAGACAGTATCCAGATTCGTTCCTAGCACAGAACAAATGGGATTCCACCCCAGGGTGTCAACACGGGAGGGGGTGGGGGTGAAATGTTTCCTTCGCACAGTCACTGGTGAACCCTGGCTTTACCCAGCCTCCTAGTGCTCTGGCAGACATTACTGCAATTGTCCCCAGGCTGCTACCCAACAGGGCACCACTGCCATGGTGCTGCTGTTTCAGGGGTCTGATTCCACCAACCCAAATAAGGCCAGGCTCTCTGGGGGACTGTCCTCTGGGCCAATGCCACTCTAGTAGCAAACCCAGCATGAAGTGTCCCCAGGTGCAGTTTCCCCTGGCTGCAGCTCCATCTGCACCTACCAGGTGCCTCATAATCTTATCTATCACACCGTACATTTAGACATATAAGGGAACCTGGACACCAACTGGATCAAACACCTCATTTTAAAACTTAAAAAACTGAGGCCGTGAAAGAGTAAGTGATTTGCTTAGAGCCACCCAGAGAGTAACAGAGGCGAAGTTTGAACCCAGATCCTTTGAGATCTAATCCAGCACCCTTTTCCCTCTAATGGAGGGACTGGCCAATGAGAGCCAATTCATAGCACACAATGTTTGAAGCAATCCCTGCATCCTCCAGAAGAGTCTGATGACATGGAATGGAGACTCCATTTCAGAACATTCGCCAATATTCCATAGCTATGTCTTGTCCACTTACCACATGGTAATAAATAAATAAACGAATTAAGGAATGCATGAATAAAAGGCTTTTGGGTTGATTGTCAAGTTTGAACTAAGCATACTTACAAAATGCACTAATAACCAAAGTGTTCTCTCAATCTCTCTGTCTCTCTCTCTCTCTTTCTCTCTCTCTCTCTCTCTCTCTCTCTCTCTCTCTCTCTCTCTCTCTGTGTCTCTCTCTCTCTGTGTGTGTCTCTCTCTGTCTCTCTCTCTCTGTCTCTCTGTCTCTCTCTCTCTGTCTCTCTGTCTCTGTCTCTGTCTCTCTCTGTCTCTCTCTCTGTCTCTCTCTCTCTCTGTCTCTCTCTCTCTGTCTCTCTGTCTCTCTCTCTCTCTGTCTCTGTCTCTGTCTCTCTCTCTGTCTCTCTGTCTCTCTCTCTCTGTCTCTCTGTCTCTCTCTCTCTGTCTCTCTGTCTCTCTCTCTCTCTGTCTCTGTCTCTCTCTCTGTCTCTCTCTCTTCTCTCTCTCTGTCTCTCTCTCTGTCTCTCTCTCTCTCTCTCTCTCTCTCTCTCTCTCTCTCTCTCTGTGTGTGTGTGTGTCTCTCTCTGTCTCTCTCTCTCTCTGTCTGTCTCTCTCTCTCTCTCTCTCTCTCTGTCTCTCTCTCTCTGTCTCTCTGTCTCTCTCTGTCTCTCTCTCTCTCTCTCTCTCTTTTCTTGGTGGTGATCAAGGCAACAACTACCATACATCTGGTGGGGAGAGAGGTAGCCCTGGCGCTGGAACCACCAGAGATCCAGGGACTGGAGTTTGCCAGAAGCTGCCCATCTTCGGTCACTGGGAGCCTGAGCAAGACAGGGAGAGGGAATAAGCATTTGTCAGATATCTCCTAGGTGGGAGGTGTTGTGCTAAGCACTTGGTAAATATTATCTCTTTTGATCCTCACAACAACTCTGTAAGGCAGGTACTATTGTACCTGTCCTCATTTTACAGTTAAGGAAACTGAGGCTTGTAGAGGTAAAATGACTTATACAAAGTCACACGGATTCTAAGTGTCAGAAGAATCAGGATGTGAGCCCAGGTTCTCTGATCTGATGTTACTAGCTGGACTATGCTGCGCTCTCCCTAGACTACAAGCTTTATGAGAGGCAATGGCAGCATTAGACATGGGGTCAAAAGTTCTGGGTTCAAGCCCTGGTTCTGCCACATACTAGCAATATGCACCTGGATGAGTCACTGCTTTCCTGAGTCTTCATTTCCTCCTCTAGAAAATGAGGACAATAATCAAAGAACATCCCTCAACATAGGCCCGTGTAGGTGGAAGGAGCAGGACTGGTCAGGGATCTCATTGACATATAGAGTTCCCAGATGAGAGAAGTCCCTCTCCCAATGAAAGGTGGCAGCTTCCCTACAACTTATAGTCTTAGAGAGCTACCTGTGGGCACTAAGTGGTTAATCAATTCTATGTCAAAGGTAGGATTTGAACCCAGGTCTTCCTGACTCCAAAGGAGTAGACAGAGATCCACTATGTCTCTAAGTAGAACATTTCATAAACTGTAAGGTATCATATAATATCTAGGAGTTTCCTATTTATTATTCCCCATTAGACCTTTCTGCACTGGGTTCCGAAGATGACATGAGCCTTTAAAGTTTAGGTCTGGCCCACGGTAAAAACCAAGGAGAAATTGGAAAAGATTAGGATGTGAGCCAGGCCTTTCCCATTCTCCACTGCTGGTTCCACGTCATCTCCTGAAGTTCCCTTATGTTTATTTTATAAATACTTTGATAGGCAATTGGGCATAGAAGATAGCTGCAATCAGAGGCAGTAAAACCTGAGTTCAACCCCTGCCTGTGACACACTCTGTGTGATCCTGAGTAAGTCAACTTGCTTCTAAATACCCAAGGCAAATTTCTAAGACTGTCATTTACAGAGTTGGTAATGATGTGTTTTGGAAGAAATAGATTCCTTCCTGGGAGGGCTCCATGCCAATGAAATCACTGGACCAGGCCAAAGGAAAAAAATGATAGAAACCTCTACATGTGCACATTGTAGAATGTAAGCTCCTTGAGGATAGGGACAGTTTCATTTATCTCTTTGTATCCCCAGTGTCTGACACAAAGTTGATATTTAATGGATTCTTGTTGGTGGGTTGATTGAGAATGGAGAAGATAGCAGTGCCCACAGTCAAGCTGAGAGATTGGAGAAGAGTAACCCTGAGAATCAAGTCAGACACAGATGCAGGCTCTCAAATGTGATGTGGTCAGAGACCACGGTGACAGACTCAAAAAGAAACAGGAGGTGTTAGGCAGCCACCCCAGCTCCGAGGAAACAATAGACAACCACAGGCAGTTTCTATATTACGGAAAGCTAGAAAGTTCCATAGAAACAGCAAAAATAGCACACGCTTTTTAGATAAAAGATAAAAAGACCAGAGATTCTCTCTAGTCTAACTTTAAGTTTTCCAGTACAAGCCAAACTCTTGTTTCCTC